AAAAAAAAAAAATGCTATCTAGTGTGCGTTTGTTATCGTACCAGGATGTACAGTCTTACTCAAAAAAGGAGAAAACTCCAGAATTTGAAACCAACTACGCTCACTGTAACATTAATCATATGAATCATAATTTTGTTTAATATCATGCCGTTTAGGTTCAATGCTAGGAAAACATTTCTTCCAATTAGTACTCAGTTGGACATCCTAAAAGACGTGTATGACACCCATGGTGATTGGGGATTTGCAATAAAAAACAACCTAACCAGGTAAATTCTGCTCCCTAGTACTTTTTTTTGAAGGCGGTAACTAAGACTTCAGAGATTGCGAACAAAAAATTTTTTTGTAGTTGTATTTTGTTATTTCTGATAAATTCTCATCAAAACTTTACTGCCAAATACTATTCGTATCAAAATAAAAGCAAATCTTTCTGTTCAGGATTTGTTCACATTAACTTTTTTTCAAACATTGACGTGACTAGTCTTTTCCAGTAATTTTCAAAAATCCTATGCCCAAAACGACAACTTTCAGAGAACTTGTGACAAACGATGGAAAAATAGATTACGGCCAGTTACTTTGGGAAGTAAGAGAAGCAAAAAATACGAGGATTAGAGCATTGGCAAGTTCTATTTCGGAAATTACTGGTTACACTTATGACACTTTAGATTAGTTTCCAATTTATGGTTACGTTCCATCAACGGCCTCAGCAGCAGCCATCTAAAGTGTCTGAAAATGTTTATAACTTTGTGAAGATGGATTTCTTTTTAGAACACGTTGCAGACGTCAAAAAACTAGCTACTTAAAGTTTGTTTTTTCTTAAATTACCTGTAACGTTACCACAATTGGTCCACCCTAATTAGAAAATTTGTTCTCCAGCTGTATCGTCTTAATAATAATAAAATGCAAAAAACCAGGGAATAAACTTTCGACCGAATAAGAATATAATTCTGTAGCAAAGTTATTTTTTGCTTTGGAAAGGCCTACAGATAGCTGCATTTAAAACGGTCTTCTTGGGTAAGTCAATGAAACTAATACCAAGCTTATAATGCAAATGCATTTTCTCAAATTACCAAGTTTGGAATATGAAAACACTGTTGTCCGTAACCATCCGTATGACCCCAGCAGAAAATGTTCCTGACAAACACGTTTGAGCCTTCTCAAACTAGATGTAAGAAGGTCTAGAAAGAAACATTCGTGCAAACATCCATATCCTAACTCATTACTATGGGTATAAAACCATTAAGGTTTCAAAAAGTATTTTTTAAGTTAAAAACTAGACGAAATATTCAATTTTTGATACAATCATTTATTAACATATATTGGATCACTGATAAAAATCTCAATTTCAAACAACTGGAAAATAAATGCCATTTTATATTACTGACAAACAGGTGGTCAACAACTATTGTTTCTAAAGGTGTCGCATTTAAAATTTTTGTTGGAGTGCACTGATAAACTTCACATATAAGTTTTTTTCTACAAATCCCGATGGAACATAACTAAACAAGTTCAAGTATTTAAGAAATTGATTACTGTTACTTGAAGCAGAAGTCATTTTATGAAAAGTTCCACCAATATAGAAGATTTCAAGTATCCTAACTGGAACTAAAGCTTCCCAATGAAAAAAAAGAAAAAAAATGATTCCTTTTTTGAGCACTCCATCGTCTGCTAAGCAAAACAGAAACTTCAAACACCACTTTCTTTGTTGCTTGCTGATTGAACTTCATATTCCAGCCGGAACTTTAAAAGAGCACGGTTGACGCAACTACGTCACAGATAACTGAGACGCAGCTAATACAATCCGCTTTGCTTTATCTACTCAATTCCAGTTCAAGGAGTAACTTAGTGAAAGAGGAAGCTAAGAATGTTTGGCTGGAAAGGAAGCCCTCCCTTCAACATTTGCGCCGCCTTTCTTTCGTGATCTTTTCCACTTATTTGGTTCTGCAGGCCGTTTCAAATAAGGCTTATTTGACTTGTCTTTAAAGCGATTGTTTCCCATCCCTTCTTTTGTAACGAAGCCGGTCACTTCCTCACAAGACTCTTGACAGCTACAAAATGAGCTTAACGGTAGGACGACGGTCAAAAAAAAAAGTGAAATTTCCTTTGCATCTTGATTCCCGCAATGATAATTTTTTTTTAAGCGCCTATTTTTCTTAATCACTGTTAGGAAAGGTCAAGAGATGTAGATGAAGTAGCATGAAAATTGATGATAAAAGACACAAAACCTGTCATTTTTATACTCTGCTGGAAAAGGATCTCGCGAAAGAAGTATGAACATCGTCGGGACATCAACATGAACCACGAGTCTGCAATTGAAAGCACCGTAGATAATGATGGTCGTTCACTTCTACAAAAATAAAGCATCGGAAATAATGTTAAAGTGATAAGAATCACACTTGCTGAGACCGTCTTTGCTTGGGTCTGGAAGCCAAACGTCAGATCTTCTGGAAAATTTTATAGCATTCCACTGATAAAGTACTTCGTTCTTAAAGTAAATAACGAGATGAGTTTGAATATGTAACGATAAATGCAAAGTAAAATAAATTCCACAAAAATTAACATATATCTTCAACATTTGAAAAAAATCCTACTTTGCGGCTCCTTTTGAAAACTTCGACGCATGAAATACACTTTGCCGTGGCTTCACCGACACCTTTGAATATAATTCGTCTACAAGCCGGATCCTGAAAGACGAAATGATTTGAGTGTGGAAAGAACAATCAAAACATCCCTAGCATCATATCTGCTCTTAAATGGCAAATAGCATGTTCAGTGGAAAGTTTCTAAGAAGACAGCTTTAATAAGCCGGTTGACAGTTACAATAACGAAAGATTTACCTGGAAAACTTTTTCTACATAACCCAATATATTTTTAAACTTTGAGTTCTCTTTAATAACCATTTGTGTGACATTTTCTGTTAATTCTTTTGGGTATGGCAGAACACATTCCACAGATATTTCTTCACCCTTAACGTAATGCTCCATATCAAAACGTGGTCTGAGAAAGCACAGCTATTGATGGAATAAAAACTGAACAGTAATCAGACATCAGTTGTAATTGATTTTCATTTTTTACAAATCTCAGATGACAAAATGCTTCAATAAGTTCTAAAATTCAGAAAAATTATTCTCTCAATTGTCCGACAACAAATCATTACATTCACTGACTAAAAAACAGTCTGAAAATGCAAAGTATTTCTTACTCCCCCCCCCCCCTCTTCAAATTACCAGTTTCTACACATCTAACAAAACTTACTGAGTAAACTAATCAGCGGAAAAAAACAACACCTTAAAAACCTCATAAAAATTCAATGAAAAGCTTTTCCTCTTTCTCGCCCTTAAAAGGAGGTATGAAAATTGGCAATAAGCCAATGGTTGTTTAGCAGCAGCTAATGAATTATGGAGTTAATGCTCGCCGTTACCAGTCAATTTTTCAAGGCATTGTACGCTCAGATCTTTTTTGATGTTGCATGGATATCAAAAATGTTTTTTTGCGATTCTTGTTTCGTTTCCAACACTGTTTTTTTATTGCATTTGTGTGTACCACATTGTTGGTGTCTCGTCAAATTGTCGACTGACTAGTTCGTGTCAGTTAATACCATTGGTTCATTCTGTTCTTCAATAATTGAATATCTATGGCTAAATATTATAGGTTGGTGTTAATGATGCGTTGAAGACAGAAATCGGTGGATAGCTGAAATAGCAACAGATAAATATTTGTACTTATTAAAGCGATGAAGACAGTGTTGTATTATCAATTATTTAAGTGTGCTTTTTAACCAGGTAGACATTTATTAATCAGGTAAATTTTAGAGACGATTATGAATTGTTCTATTGGATTCTGGGAGCTTTTGCTTTCCACGAATACTTGAATTTAATACGGCTGTTGACAGGAAATTGATGGTAAATGTTAATGCGATAACAATTTAGGGAATCAAAAAAAGATCAAAAATATGACAATTTTTCGAATTACTTTTTTGAATTGCTGTTTCATTATTACCTTTTGCTCATATTGGTAGAACCACCAGCAATTTAAAAATTATAAACTCAACATATTCAGGTATTTGTATTCCAATGAACTGGAACATTTTTGACGTTTGATAGGGAGAACTGCTCATTCAAGTATGAACATATCTTTCAGGCAGGGTGGCACCCCAATAAAGGAAGAAATAAATAAAAATCAAAAAAATAAGTAAATCAAATAAAAAAAGGGAAATGCTAAGCCCTTTGAAAACTATAACGTTAGCTTTTGATCTGTATTGATGTGTTGTCACTTTAGATCTGCCCATTTTTTCTAATGACTTATAATAACTATTCCTTCTCTTATTGATACCTAGTCAAACGTTAATATCAGTTGATGAGTGGTTTATTGATTTTTAGTGCCATATTACTCATTTTTTTTATTAAACGTTGACGGTTTCCAGTTTACCTTTCCATCTATTTATTTAGACTTTCAGCTCTACACCAGTTTCTACAAGGTTAGTTGCAAATATTTTTTTCTTCATATGACTAGATTTATTGGGAGAGAATGGCGAAAAGTGAGGATAAAAGTAATATGTGAGCGTAAATTTGTCATCTTCAAGTCTTCCGTGGTACAACTGTTTTTACTGCTGTATCAGTATCCCTACTTGTCAGTGGAATTAAATTACAGAAATTATTTTAATGGTATTGGTGAAATTTTACACCATTTTTTTTGCGTATAATTATATCTGGGTGAATTTTTCAAATACGATAAAATTACTGCTATCAAATCGTGGAAAAACAGAATGGTATTGTTTAATTTTTAGGCCATTTTTTTGAGTGCAAGGTTAACTTATTGGGAACGTAGAACGAAATAAATTATGCTTTCAGCAGATTTTCCAAATCTATGACTAGATTCAGAAGCAGCCTTGCATTTAAGAGTAAAAGACAACTTCTATAATCATAAATTAGTAATGTTGTCTAGTTTTCGAGAAAACTTTCGTTCACGAAAGCATTGCTTTGTCTTTACGTAACTGTTCAAAAGTGGTAATTGGAGAAGAAAAGGTTTGGATGTTGTAGTGGATTTGCGTAACCGTCGTTGTCTTTTCGATCTTGCAGTTTCTACGGCCATTTCTGCTGGTGAAGTGTGCATTGCCTAACTGTAATGCCGGCCTTTTTCTTTTAACCAGTGAAGGCCAAAATTTTTAGTTATTCATGTCAAATTTAAAAATTGTGACATGAAGGTTCTATTGTAATTCAGTTTTAACAATTTTTTCGCATTTTAATGAATTAGTTTTCGTAATACCACCGAAAAATTAGTAATTCCATTTGAAGTTTTTAATTGGGTTCAAAAAGGCCAAAGATTTTGCAGGTTTTTAAGCTAGTGAATATCTGCTTTTGCAGTTATTATAAAGAAGCTATTTTTTATCCGTCCAAAGAGACAACTTTAAGTGGTTCTTCATTATTTTTTTCAAAACGATTGCCACATATTTTCAAATAAGGCGTTCTGCAAATACTGCACAGGGACTCCACTTCTGCAGTCTGTTCCTCGTACCAGTCTGTCTAAAATGTCTTCTAACCGTAATGCTGCTTAAATCAGTATGCCCTTTCAGAACTCGCCTGGTTATTTGTAGCTTAGTTTAAAGGATATTTTAAAGCTGATGCATTCATGTAGATCTGTGTTTGCGACCACTTTTATTCCAATATTTTATCTCATTGTCAGAGTTTGGAACCAAAACTAATCCATTTTTTCTGGAATACACTCAGACCTGGACGCCACGTATATTTTGCAAATCTTCTGTGCCGTGGTGTTTCTGAGTTTACAGTAGCAGATAATGGTTAGACAAATACCCGTTTTTCATTTATACTGCAATTTAAAAGCGAATGTGACATTTCCACTTGCTTGAAGAAGCAATTTTTGCCTTTTGTCTTGATACGCACCTCTGCTCGAAACCTTCCAGTAACCTCTCTATATGCGGTTTTCAAAGTAATGATGCGAGAAATTGTGGATAATGTTCAACGTCGTATTTGTTACTTATTTTATTTGGAAACAACTCGTGATTTGCTTTTATGCTTGAATCGTATTAACTATTCTTTTGTAAGTTACCTGTTTTCATTAGCACTGTATTTATCACTTCTTTAAATTTTAGAGGATGTTTCTGATGGAAAGTACTTGAAGAATTGATTATTGTTATTTGTTTCCTTTTTTTCTGTAATTTATTGAGGCGTTAAAGTAGCATGGAATCACTGGATAAAATCAAAACCGTGCAAGATCTGACTGCTGCTAAACACCACGGCAAGAAAAGGGTAATTTTAAAGCATTTTTTTAGTTTTTAACAACCTAATGTTTCATTTTGCTGTAGATTGAAGCATGCTTCAAGATTCTTAATCACGGTGTTTTTCGGCGAAGCATATGCAAGAAAAACGAATATGCAAAGTTTTTTTCTTTTAGATGAAAAATAGGTGCCAGCCAGTCTCGGATCCCTCCGAGGAGACAGAACTTTTTGAAGCTATTGATGCTGCGTACTACATAGAAGAAGATTTTGACTCTGTGGAATATGAGCTGAAAGTAGGATGAATTTGTGTTTTCAGAACTTATTGT